GGGGTGCGGGGTGCGGGGTGGGGGCTCCTTTCCCAGCAGAGCTGCCCCTGGCAGTTCCTGGGATGAGCCAGGAGCTGATGGGTCCCAAACCCCAGCCCATCCGCCCTTCCCTGACACCTGGCGGGGGAGGGTTGTACCCTGGGACAGCTGGCCCTGGCCGGGTGGTGTCCCAGCCCAGCTGCTCAGGGTCCCCTGCGCAGGTGTATGGGTGTGTATGGGTGTGTGTGGGTGTGGGGGGGGGGCTTACACCCTCAGGAGACCTGCGGGCCTCGGAGAGTCTCAGAGGGAGCCTTGGCAGAACCCGGCCACCTTGGTGTGGCTCCAGGTCTCTGCCCAACCCAGTCTGGTGGCCTCCTTTCCTTGAAGGCCACTGTGGCCCAGGAAACCCACACTAACACCTGAGGTGCCAGGTTCAAAGACCCAGAGGGAAATCTTAAAAAATAAAAATGTCCAACCTACCACCTCTTCTTTTAGGTTGATGAGAGGAACCGGCCAGGGAGTGAACTCCTGGAGGGTCTGGTGGGCAGTGGTGGCCCCTGGAGGCCCAGAGCCACCTCACCGCCCCCCTTCACACACAGACCACAGGCTCCACCAAACTGTGACCAAATTCCAAAACCGATTTGAGGTTGGGCCTGGGCGGTCCTTGACCCTCGGCTCCTATAGGGGAGTAACAGTAGTATATTTGGTTATAGTGGGAATGTTCACTGGGCAGCCACTTCCAGGTGCATGCAGGACCTCATTTCATTTTCTTAACCCCTCGTTCAGGAAGGAATAGCCCAGCTTTAGAGATGAAAAGACAGAGGCTCGGAGACATTCAATAACTTGCCCAAGTCATACAATTGACAGGTGTAGAATCTGAACTCAGTTCTGTGTGACTTCAAAGCTATTCACGATCTTCTTCCACCACCCCCACGGGACTCTGCCCAGTTTTTAGTTCCAAACCTATCTCCCCGCTTTGGGTTTTCATAATCTCCAGTGATCATGGTCTAAGTCATAGATACGGAGCAATGGCCTTAATGTTAATGCCAGAAACCCTGATAATTAGACATCGATTTTCATGAGTTTTATCCAAACAACATGAGACACATATGGGAAGATGAATTCTCATTTCGGATAAGGCTACATATACCAGCCGTGAGCATTTCCTGGGAATCTGTCTCTGTCCTGCATCCAGCGGCCTGCAATGAATCGAGTGAGGTTTCCTGGGTGCCGACCTACTGCATGGATGTCTGAGAGCAGGGACATGCCTTTCTAGACACCTCCCCAGGGGATCTTTCCACCAGTGAAAGTTGGAGGACTGCACCTTTTAAAACTGGGTAAAGTTAGGGGACTCAGCTAGCCTTCCTGAGGGCAGGGGACTTCTTTGTTTTTAATCCATTTACTGGAAGTATGAATGCTTGTTGGGGAAAGGAAGATGCTAGAATGTCACAAAAACACCTAATTCAGTGAGGCAGCCGTTTATCAAGAGTCCAAAGGAGTCAGGACCTGGGGCAGGAGACCTGAGGTAGCTGCTGAAGCCTCTAGGCCTCTCTACAGTTTCAAGGACAAACCCGAAACGAAGGGAGCTCACTCACAGGCCCTAGGCATGGCTCATGGTTGGTGCCGTTGACCAACATCTCTCCATGTTCCAAGTCCCTAAAGTGACCAAATCCAATAAAGAAACAGCCAAGCCATAACCCGGTTTTGCTTTCTGTTAGGCAGAGTGCTTCTTCCCCCCCCCCCCC